ATCCCGTCAGCTGGGTCAAAAGTAACACAACAATACAAGCTAGATTTTTTGTGTTACCACCCTTGTATTTAATAAATAAACATGACTGTGACCTTGTTAATGTGTAACTGCAAACATCTTTTGTCCTTTGTCTTTCTACATTTTCTTCTCAAATATTCAGTTTCAAAAGTATTCTGACAGCCCAAACTTGAATTGTTTAGAATATTTCATATTATATCAAGGATATATTATAAATATATAATATAAATATCCAAATGTGTGCACCTAAAACTGGGGGGAAATGTTAAGATGGAGATTGTTTATGAACCTGACATGATTAAGATAAAATAAGACTTTACTGATCTGCACTGGGGATATTGGCATGTTGCAGCAGCTTCAGAGACAGTGGAAAATTATACATTATGCAGAAAGACATGAATTAAATGTAAATAAAAATACAAATTTCACATTTTGTAAACTTTGTTTGAGTAAGAGCAGTGTGAGTAAGATGCATGTTGAGTGTTTAACAACTGTAGCTTACTGACCTCCTTATAGGCGAAAGGCCAAAATAAATCCCAGCTGTCCTCTTGATGTAAGCCTGCAGCTTCTTCTCTTGGTGCACAGAGAAGACTCTAGAATGTGATCTGTACCCTGGTGGTCTGGTCTTCTCCCTCCTGGTCTCTGCCCTCCTGCTGCAGTACCTGAGCACAGTGACATGGCATACGCCATCCGACTTAGCGGCTGCCCTGAGACCGATGTTTCTGACAGCGATGTCCAGAAACGCCCTCTCATAAACACCTGGCTGAATCAGACCCGTCTGTCTTTCTGACCCTCGCTCTTGGCACATTCTGTTGGTTTAATAAACATGTTTCAATACATCCTGCAACGCAGAGAAAGTCACCACATTAGCAGCGGGACAAAAGAGACACTTGTGGCCTCCTGACATATCAACATGATTTATTTTTATACTGAAAAACTCTGACAGGGCAAACTTCAGGGTGTGTTAAAGCACTAAACAACCTGTAGATTAATCATTACTGTGACACATGAAACGAGAGACTCAACTTGTAATTCGAAAAACAGTCCCGCTTCAGAAATTTACTTACCGTGCTTGAAAACAATTTTCCAGAGACTACTGCGGGAAGCGTGGACGAAATCGCGCGATATTTGGCAGCTTTATCAAGGGTTGCGTGCTGAAGGTGCTGTCAAAGCTTGGACTGCAAATGCAGTCAGGGCTCTGAGAAAATCGCCTTGTTACTTTCTTCCTGTGTTACTTTCGCCCCAGGTAACCCCTACTAGACCCAGGTTCAACTCCCCAATGTGTCCCTGAGCAAGACACTTAACCCCTCGTTGCTCTAGAGGCGTGCGACCTCTGACATATATAGCAATAGTAAGTCGCTTTGGATAAAAACTGTCAGCTAAATGAGTAAATGTAAATAACAACATCATCGGCAAACCATAAAACAACATGGCCTGGAGCAGAAAGGTGTTTACAGAATACTAATAATTATAATAACAATACTAAATGACTGCATTTGGTACAATACATATCAACTTCAGAGCTACTGAAGAAATATTAAAATCATTTGGAACTCATCATAAGACATGTAGAGAAACCAAAAGCAGCAGGAGAGACTGAGGGCCTTTCTCATTTCACAAATTAGAGCCTCCTCGCGGCGCCTCTTAGTCTGTCCCACCTGAGCTGGAGGAGTTGAGCAGGAGAGGCGAGGAGAGAGGAGTCAAGGAAACAGGCATTTAAAGAAATGAGACATCATTTCAAAGCGAGGTCAATTATAGATGACCTGTTGCACGGCTGCATCATCTGTTTGAGCTGAGATCTCTGTCAGAGCAGCAGAGCAGCTTTTGGCACTAAAGGCTACAGATATTCACAATTCAGAAACATGTCTGTCAACAGTATAACACGTAGAAACATCTGGAGGTTCCAATCAACATTATAGCATCTGTTGAAAACAGTCACAGATTACAGCAGCCTCATCATGCTGCACAGATACACAGTCACTTTTTCTGCCAGTGCGTTTTGTCTGTAAACAGTTCATTTCAGCCCTCAGCCCGATGAGGTTCAGTTTCATCATCAGCCCCTTTACAAAATGACGCAGTAACATTTATCTCATATAGCTGTGAATAGCTGTTGTTGGGATGACATGTGCAGACTACATGGACACAACTATTACAACATGAAACATGTTGCTCTGTTTTGCACGATTACAGCAGCTGAACTGGTGCGATGCGACGATCGGCTCGGACGTTCTCTGAATACTCACATAGGCCCAGGCATAAATCCTCCACCCGCACCCCACCGACTAATTCTTTGTTTTCAGATTTAGACCAGCACCTGTATGGGCATTTTACCACACCTCCACTGGTCCCCGTAGCTTTCCAGGTGATTTCTTTGTGTTAAATTGATGTACTAGGAGTGTTTTCTTTAAGGATTTACCTTGATGATCAGAGGCTGCTGTCCGTCATTTAAACGTTTCCATCCGTGCAGTAATGTCACAGCAACAATCGTGGGACAAAATAAAAATAGCCTACTGCAGTGATAAATTTGACAGGACAGAGAGAGGAAACAGAATTAAACTTTCAGCTTCTATAATCCATGTTTAGACGCTCTGATGGAGCTCAGGACTGATCAGGAGGACGGCTGCTTCACTGCAGACAGTTTTACTGTGAGAACCTGGACTGTGTGCGAGACCTGTTGGATGTGTAGAAGAACACAGAACATGAATGAACATTAGATCTTTACCGATCCTGTCGGAGCGTGGGAGATTAAGAAATGTATTTATGTTGCTGTGGCTCCTGCGTAAATGCGCACAGCGTCACTGGGGAGACGCTTCGCCCAGCCAGCCCCTTTTCGGTGTTATTCTTATAAGATCCTGCTGCCCGTTCACACATCACTTTCAACAACATCATTGATATGAAAGTGAAATGACGCTAAGGACTGCGGTTAGAACAACTTTATGAGGCGCAGAACGTTTGGTTGCGCATTTGATCATTTAAACAGGCTTAACTGATGCAATTTATGAATACAACAGGAACACTGTCCTGCTCCGGCTATGTGTTGGTCCTGCAGCGTGCCACGCCTCTTTTAAACGTCACAGCGGCTGAAAAGTCTTCCGCTAAGGATACACCGGTGTATCCTGCTCCTCCAGGTAAATTTTAGGGATGGAGATGTCCTTCAAGATTTGGAAAATGAGAAAGGCTCTGAAAGATATTTGTTGGGTTCCAAAATGTTTCATTCAACATAAACAAAACCATGCTGACAGTTTAGTCAGAGTGAAATGAAGCATTTAATAAATACACTATAGTTGGGATTGTTTGACAGTTGCAGCTCTGGCTCTTATCAGTGCAGGCTGTCACTGTGAGATCACACAGCTCTGACCTCAGCATTCAACCTTCTGACCAACAACAGACAAACAGTTTATTTAAGGCCATTTCTGTTTATATGTCTGAGTGAGCAAAGTTCCTTTCTGCTGAGCTGCCAAAGAACTGTAACACGAGAAGAGAGAAATTATAAAACTATTCTATAGACCCTTACTAGTGTTAATGTTCTTATCATAAGCCGGAAATGTGTAAGTGGACATGACATATATCATACATTATACACACAGCAATCTGAAACAGGAAATCCAGTCAATTCAAACGTGCTGTACTTCAGCTCTGTGAACAGTATGTGTGACGGAAACAGTCTCCGCTTAAAAGTGACCAGTGAGCTTGTTCAGATTATTTTTCTCACAACAACTCTGTCATTTAAACTTTTCTAGTTTTATTACTTATTCACAGGGACTCTGGTGTGTTATCAGGAACTCCTTTGTGTTTGTTACAAACTTAACTCTAATAGTTCAGCTATGTTCGTCACAAGAGAAACTTTACTGTGAAACTGCTGCTGCCAGACGGCAGGAAACATCGTTTAAAGTGTGTGCTCGATATCAAGGAGAAGTTTTTTTCTTTTGTTCAGATTTAAACCAGCAGTGAACGCATCCACTTACAAGTCCTGTGTTTCTCCACTGTTGTCCAACACTAGTGTTCCTTTACCTATCTTTACCTCCACCTTCTAAATACTGTATTGTTTCAGTGAAAATAAGTGACACCAGAAACATGAGCCCTCCGTATACAGAAAGAAACGGGCCAACATTTGGTCCCTCGATCTAAAAGTCTAAAAAACATTTACACATTTTAATAAATTATTACATTTTTGTGTCAACTCCTTCCTCGCTCTGGTGTTGTGCAGTGTTTTGATGTGTTCTCTCTTTAGTCTAAAACAACTGTTTCGTATTGAAATGAGTAATTTAACCAGGACCGACAACACATGTGGAAGCCACAGGGCAAAAACGTGTCACATTAGAGACACAGTGATCCAAATGAAAACAGTTCATTTAATATTGGGGATTTGATCTTCTGATCTTCTTTGGCTATGTTTAGGTGTTGAGAGACAAGAACAGGCACTATCTTTTCCAGCCTCAGACTGAACCCAGGCCGGTGACTGACAGAATAACCGAGCTATGCCACTGGAGCTGCCAAAGGGCCTTCGTGACTTCTTTAAGCGTTGGTTTGTGAGGGCTGAATAATACATTCTTCTGCCCTCTGGTCAAAAGGAAAGACAAACGTGGGCCACGGTGCCTGACAGTCAGCACAATGCGTGCTTCACTACGCAGTAATGTTTGGTGTTGAACACTGTTGGCTCCGTGTGGAAGTCTGGTTAGCCAGCGGTTGAATAGTCAAGGTCTGAATGATTCAACAGGTCCGTGTGTTCGTCCGCCAAGTTTCACCTCTCGATATACAGATGATTGTCTGGATAAACAGAGATTCAGCTAAACTTAACAGACGCTGAGCTCAGCTGCAGGCGCAGAGAAACTGTACATCCAGAAAATAAATAAAAGTAAGTCAGGTTTGCTCAACAGCTGACCAAAAAAGGCAAACTTGAGAATGAGGGAACAGTTGTTCAGCTATCGGTGTGTGACAACACGATGGCACAAACAAAAAATACATTTTTAAAATTTGCATAATAATGTTGACAAAGCTTTAATGTGTAGTTTGTTGCCTTTTATTTTACAGATCCATACATTCTTAATAATTCCCTTGGATGTTTTTGGAAAGAACGGTGTAATGGTACTAATTATAGGGGAATAAAAGAAAACCAAATCCACGCTTTTAGGTAAAAGGAATAAATTTTAGCTGATGGAGGTATGCGAGAATTTTTTTCTTTTCCACAGTAAAGAGTTTTTGATGCTTTAGCTGTCAATAAGACTTTCTGTTGGACAAGACCTTTGTCGTAATTTCACTAATTATAGCTAAAATAGAGAAGTGTTCAATTGGTACTCTGCAAATTAATACATTTTCATTAGATGCATAACCTCAAGAGAATTTCAGAAATAAACGGATGATGAATGCATTTTTAATAGGGTTTAAATTGAGCTTTTCTTTAAAGGCATTTCATCAATGCAACTAACTATATAAAAACAAGTCTCGGAACCATACCTCCCTATAATTGGTACCAAATTACAAAGTTCTTTTCAACCTTTCAGAACTTTGAACCTGATATTTTCAAGAAATGATTGGGAAATTATGAGGAAAATAGTTACTGCATGAATAATATTCCATATACCAAACTAAAGCTAGGCCTTTAATGAGGCAGTGCAATAAATGGTCAAGCTGAGAATTTTACAGAATCTACTATTTCATCCAAACAAAGTCTAAACAGAACCCAAAAAATGGCCGCAGCAGTACATCGAGTCAGATTCAGTGATAAAGCAAGCAAACATCTTTATGGCAACCTGCAGCCTTAATCACACAGTAGCATTCTCCTTTCTGATGAGAAAATGTTCTGCATGGACTAAAAAGGCACTGCTAATGACCGGAGGAGAGTTTGGTTGACACATCAATTCAAGTTTGGTCCTGAATTGATGTGTCAGCTGCGACTGGAGAGCTTACAAGAGGAGATGGCTGCATGCTGAAGTCCATAGAGGAACCTTATTAGTCCTTATTATTTTCTGATTAATGCCATCTGCATGCCATCCTTTCTGGCTTCAAGATTTCTTTTGTGCTGGGTTTTGTTTTTATATCTCCACTCCTGTAAATACTTGCCACCCCTCCGGTCCAGCACAGGCATGAATAGAATTTCACTTGGGGTGCCAACATAATCAAAAAATTACACATAAATGGATTCAAGTGAACAATTTTCCAGGTAGAGAGAAGTGAGATGTCCACTGAGAGATGTGTAACTTCTCTGTAGTAATCAGGACATTGTTTCTGGGAAAACATGTTGGTGTTTAGTTTTTCAAATGTGTTTTATTTTTTTATTGGCGTTCTCAAAACCCAACTGAATTAAACCCAAACTATGTGCATGGCTGGACACCACATGGGAACACAATTTTTGTGTAATTTGGGTGAACTGACCCTTTCAGTGATAATAATATCATCCTGGCAGCAGCACAGCGAGTGTATTTCTTCATGCATGGACTGCTAAATAAAAAATAAATACAGAATTTGAACACAAACAAGATTCCTCACTTGAACAATAATGCTGTTGCCATGAATGAAACCCCGTACGATTGCTAAACTTTGGCTGACGTGCACACAAAGCCGATCTTTAGTGGCCGCTGGCATTGGCTTGGTTTTTTTCTTATTTATCCTCAAACCACCAACCATCAACTCACAGTTTGGTTGTCCATGTAGAGAGCAATCTGTTGACTTCAATCTTGTGTCAACCGAAGGGGCTAAATATTACTACCATTAAAATTTGTCTGGTGTGATTCTGAAATCGAACAACGGTAGTTTGTTAAAAACAATTGTGTAGGATGAGGGATTTTTAAAGTTGAGATATTTCAACTATATATATATATAGAATATGCTTGGGCGTTCCATTGTTAGGGGTACAAGCTTTGTTTTTCAAGATAATATCTATTATAATAGAAAGTAAATATGTAAAAACAAAAAAAACTAATTTCGTTTGGGAGTTGGATCAAAAACCACCTTGATCAACTAGTCTGTAGCCTTCAGGTGGAAGATTAACTTTTTTTTTCACCCATCCTACGATATCCCACAATCCATTTGATTCTCACTGAGGAGAAAAGGGCAGCAGACTGTGCGCCTACACAGCACGGGCTGTCGCAGTATGTTCGGGTTTGTATGTAAAGTCCTGGTGACCCTTCCAGGACCCCTTGAAGGCATAAACAAAAGCAACCATCCAGACCCAATATAACACTATAGAATAAGGCATGTAGAATAGATAGATCATCAATATTTACATAGGATATGGCTCCACACACACACACACACACATATGCACAAAGAGACAGTTTAAACAAACATCACAGTATTAAAAAACACAAGAACCCAACTGCTTACTTATTTTCTACCAGAACGTTTTTACCTCTTCTCTACCTTCCCGCCTTGTGTTTATCCTTTCCTCCCCTCTTTCCTCCGCCCCCTTTCATTCCCTTTTAGTCCCACAGTCTGGCAGCCAGGTTAGCCAATTCTGTAATTTGATTTGATACAGTAGAATCGCACCAACGTTCTCTGACCACACTGTAGCTCTGCCCTTAATTGTCCAGGCCCCCAGGTTTTATAAACGAAAATGTCTTAACTTGGTCTCTGGGGTTTTAGCAGTTTAGTTCACAGGCTGTCTTTTGAACAGTTTGCATGAAAAGGTAGATTTTTCTTAGAAGGCACTTTAATACAACGCAAAGTGCATTAAGATGGTGGCTCTGATTTGAATCAGGTAGCTGTCCGTATTCTGTCACACAAACCAACTAGCTCTTAATTCTTTCTGATGACTAGATAAAGAAACAAATTCTTTTGAAACAAATTAAAACATTACAAACTATTTCAATTTTTGCTAATCAGGCCAATTCAAATTATAGTTCCAACAACACCTATGTTTGCCAACAATGTACATGATGAGACACAATTTAACACATTAAAATTAAAAGCACAACAGGGATTCTGAATCAGAGCTCCAAGGATCAGGTGAGGCGGGAAGGATCAAGACATTTTAGGTGACAGGGCTGTGTCCGAAATCACCCCCTAATCACTATACACGCCGTTTTGTAGTGCTGTCCAAATGTGTAGTTTGAATGATTATACCCTATATAGACGCTTTCAACGGTAACAACATAAACAAACGGAACTGCGCATGTGCATTACTCTGGCCCAAACTTAACTTCCGGCAGAGCAATCCATAACAAGTAAATAACCTTAACTGCCAGTCGAAGAAAAGAAATGTTACTTGGCCAAACTGAAATGTGATAAGGTCACACTAGGAGACCCTTTGACCCAAAGAGACCCGAGAATGTTTTTCTACCGACCTGTCTGATTTATCGCAGTGTTTCCCACAGAATGACAGCGTAACTGTGGCGGGGGGGGGGAACTCCGACATTGACGTTGGACGGATTTGTGCAGGGGTGTTCATGATACTAACCATTCAATCCACAGACTGGTCCGCTGTCAATGTGTTTGTGGGGGGGGGGGAGAGCTTTTCCCATCTTAAATAGTAAAAAAAACAAACAAACAAAATAACGGCAATCACTACGTAGCGCTCAGAGCTGATAATGTGGTGGGCCGCCACAAATAAATGAATTTATGGGAAACTACTGGCAATTACGTAATTAACGGTGCTGAAATAATGATCAGAGTGGTGTCCGAAAGTGTTTATTATCACTATATAGTCCTCTACTCCCGACGTAGTGAGAAGTGAATGAGTGGTGATTTCGGACCGACGGGTCTAGAATTCTGGTCAGCAACAATAATGTTGGACGTGCTTTGAAAAAGGACTTTTAGAACCCTCTTCTGTGGCTGAAGTTGGGAAAGAATTCTAGAATTTTGGGCAGAAACAAAAGGTTCTACACTGTTGAGGCTGTCAGAGAGTTCTAGAAATTAAAAGTAATTCCAGAACAGGGAATGTTCTACAATGTTGGGCAGCAGTTCCAGAAACAAAAGCAAAGCCTTAAATAACATTGTGGACAGTTCCAGAACAACGAGGCAGGTTCCATTGTTTCCCTTCATTTAGGAACCTTCGACAGTAGCCTCTTCTGTTCCTGAAGCTTCCAGGAGGATGATGTCAAAAAACAGTTCTAGAACAATTCAGGCAGTTCCAAAAGACTTGGAGGGAGGATCCAAAGTGCTTTGAGCAGTTCCAAAACACGCATGATTCTAGAATGCTGGGCAGAAACAAAAGGTTCTACACTGTTGAGGCTGTCAGAGAGTTCTAGAAATTAAAAGTAAATATAGAACAGGAAAGGTTCTACAATGTTGGGCAGCAGTTTAAGGACAGAAGTGACGCCTTAAATAACAGCAGTTCCAGAACAACAGGCCGGGTTCCATTGTTTCCCTTCATAGTGGAACCTTTAGCCGTAGCATTCTCTGTCACTGAAGCGTCTGGAAGGATGATGTCAAAAGAAAATGTTCTCGAACAATTCAGGCAGTTCCAAAAGACAGGGGAAGCATCCAGAAGGTCGGCCCCAAAAACACTGAGGATCCCTTCTACAACCTGGTGCAGTTGGCAAAGCTCTCAGACATGATGATGTTCTTGTAGAAGTTGTCCGAGCGTGTGGAGCAGTAACCTTTCACCTTGTCGATCATCTGGCTGACAGGGAGCATGGAGGACGAGGAAGAGGAGGAGCTGGGCTCTTCCTCTGAGGAGGAAGGGCACGAGGAGACGCACTTGGGGCTGGGCTGGTTGGAGTAACCTTTATCTGCAAATTAAGACACACACAGGATTGTGACTTCAATATGCAATAATGAAATCATTTCATTTAGGCTTAGACCTCATGGTGCAGTCAAACGAACCATGTAGTATTAGTGTTACTACAAGTTTAATGGGTATTATTGCACTGTTCCAGTATTACAGCTTTAATTAAGGTGGTATGTTTTAAGATTAACACACAGGAGAGGAATTCATCATAATTTCACAGCAACAAAAACAACAAGGTTAAGTTTCCACAGCATAGTTTCAAATCTAAAGCAGGAAGATTAAAGTGAGTGAGGGCAAAATGTCCAAGACAAATAAAATACATTTTCCCACATTTACTATACGTGTATATGGATAGAGATGTGAAATAATATCTGATACCACCTGTTTACAAGTAAACAATCCACTCACACCGACCTGTATCTTAATGTTAACTTTAACCATCGCTAAGATCAAAAGATCAGTGGCGAGGACCCAGAGCAGAACAGCTTATCAGCGAGGAGGAGGATAGAGAGAGGAAGGTGCTGAAGGTCTACGAGAGGATGAATCCCACGATTCAAGACCAAACAGACTCTGCTGCCTCAATAGGGACCGCCAGAAACATCCTAGAGATTCTCTTATGGAAAATACTCTGCAGAGTCTTCAAGTCACAGGGAGTCAACACTTACCAACCATTCAACACGAGGGGTGTTGACCAAAAATGATATCTGGATATTTTCTGGGATTTTGTCGATAACGATACTTAGACAGTATTTGGCTTCCTTCAAAAATGTGTTTGTAAAAGTCATGTGGGAGAAAGTGTGTGTGTGTGTGTGTGTGTGTGTGTGTGTGAACACCGGTGAACGGCAGCAGAGCAGAGAGCAGCAGGTCAGCAATGAACCCTCAGTTTAAAGCCTCCGACATACTTGCTTTTTAACAATGCGTAGACGTAGAGAGGCGTCGGTAATGCAAACAGCATTCTTCACATACTCGCCTGCATACTTTGTGTGTACCTGGAGGATTAAACGTGAATCCACTAGCGGGCAGAGCAGGGCCGGATCATCCCTCGCTGACACCGGATTATCTTCTTTGACAACCTCTGAATTTGCACAATGTAAACAAACCAAAGATAGCGACACACGAGCAGGTCGTGATTTTAATGAGACATCATAACAAACTCCTTCTTCTTTTGAGTTTAACGGCGATTGGCAAAGCAACTGCATCCCGCCGCCACCTGGGCTGGTGTGTGGAATAGGGGTTTTCTGCTGACCTGCCCATCGGGTCAATATACTGCCCCCGCGTTCATGTGCTGAATTGCATATTGCTGTGTTAATTTCTGGAGACGTGCAAAACCTACGCGCCAAAGGAATGCAGGATATGCGTGGCAGCCAGCAATCTGATCTAACCACGTAGACTGCGAGGCTGGCGGTGTCAGTGTCTTATCTCCTGGTGCTGTTTGGTCACTCGTTTTTAACTTCATGATTTTTTTAGCAGCTATTGTTTGTTTAACTGTAACGCAGTGACTGCACAGATGAAGTGTTTTTTGCAGCGTACTCGATAATGTTGATACTATTGTAGATGATACATTTCACACACCCCTATTCAACACCGTAAGATCTCTGCTGTAACAGACCTCAATAGCTATGCCATGTATTCTCCATGGGAGAAAAACAGGCTTAATGGGCGCTAAGCGGTTTTGCTGACCATCTGCACCGGGCTTTGATTCTATATTTCCTCATTTATGCCTAGTCACAGTGAAGTGTTAACCTCCAGACAATCTGGTCGTTGTCTGGTGTTTTTCTGTGTTGTTATTTTCTCTTACAAACAGGGTTGGTTGGTTTGGCGTTCTTCCTTCTCAGGGCCTTGCAATTATAAAAGGTTTCAGAGCCAACGGATAATACAACCAGGTCATTTCAAGCTTCACCACAGCGGCCTCATTTTTGTTAAGGTATATTTGTATTTAATTTCCCACTTGATCCCGAGATCCCCTTTCAAAATGTGTGCGTAACCTTACGTTGAAAAGACAACTACACAGTAGTATGTTTGGATATCATTCTGTTGTAATGTTAATTGGATCTTGAAAGCTCTCAGCTATTCATTTCATGTGTTTAGCTAGAGATTTGTGCTGGTTAAACTTCAGAGAAAAGGATAGGAAGTGTAGGAAAGATGGGTTACACACGATTAATATGCAGTGTCTGAGGTACAAAGCTTCATAGTTGGCTACATTGTTCTGTTGATGCTGGCAATGAAAATATGAACACAAACACAACTACAGTGAAGGCTTATATTAGCTTTTACATTTTATTGTGCAAAGAAAAAGCTGCTTTCAGACTAAGTGCTTTAAAAAGAAGCAGCCTCCGCATTAATTTCAATGAGACCACTGTGTTGGCACAATGGGAGTCGTCACATATATTAATTTGGCAGCTGTGAACTGAGCTCAGGTGTGCAACAATAATTTTGTCTACTTGTTGAGAATGTCATGCAAAATTTATAGTGATGTCATTTTAATCAAGTGTCTTTGATGCGATTTGGACCGACACTAGCAGCCTCTACTTTTATATCTTGGAAGTTTCTCATAGAAACTGAGCCAAAGCATTCATACAAAAAGTATAGCCTATAAGTTGGGCCAAATCAAGCACATACTGACTGTGCGCTAGTCCTCTGGTACCATCAAAATGTTGCTGTGAGCAGGCAGTGATTTAGCTTGCCTCTGAATCATGCTGTTCAGCCAAAGTCTTCCTTGGCACAGAAAGGAAGCTCAATCACTGCTCTTTGTCATTCCTGCTATCTGTGCCTGATTAAACAATAAAAGGAATGAAGTCGTTGTCTTGCTGAACATACAGCTACGATTCCCAGCCTCTCTTCCAAATGGTGTCCCTATGCAACATGAATCTACGGGGTCAAGGGATAGTTTGCTGCTGGCGTGGGCCACAGTCACGGCTCCCAGAACTTTTGCATTCTGGACATTCACTGTGCATTATAAAAGCACTGATTATGCCCCTGACTCCACACAGTAATGTGCAGCCGATCCTGTCCAGTAGTTTTGACTTTAAAAATGCCCTATTATGTCATACTGGGTTGTTTCTTTTAGTTCCTGTATCCCCCTCTGAAACCCAGACATTTTTTCCCCGCCATGTTCCCCTCAAATACACTCCAGAGTGCAGTTCAATGACCGAGGGGTGAGTTAGGGTTGAACCTGTGTCACAAGAAGGACCCCTGGAAACAACAGGTCAACCTCTGGTCACGAACAACACGTTTTGAAATGTAGGGATTCTCTGACCTCAAACATCTGGAAACTATACAACGAGAGACTGATGCTGGCGCTGAAACTCTCGAGACATTGTTGGCAGAGCTCAGAAAGATAGAAGAGAAAGAATCCTGCATTCAACACATGAGATATACAGATGCCGATCTGTCAATAATGTGCTGTCTGTTTCCACTGGAAACTATGGTTTTTATTTTTATTGTTTCTTTGTGAAACGTTGAAACTGACTATAGAATTATCACGTCCAAGTTCCCGTAAAGTAACTTCTGTGAAGTTACACATCATATTCTGCGTCATGTTATTGTGTATCTACTTAAAACACGAGGAGTTGTGCAACATCGTTTCAAAATTTCAACACGTGTATCATGAAAAAGATGGTGACGATTTGATGATGAAGAATTTTAAATCTCTTGAGAGAGCTGTTAAACTTTTCCCCAGGAACCTCAGATGTCCCATGGCCTTTGCAGGACTCAGGAGGTCACTTACTGAAAAGCCGATTGGTAATTTCTTGTTTTACGACAGGCCTGCAAGAACTCATACAGCATGAACAATGAGCCACCTCTGACAACCTAAACCAGTTTAATAAATTACAACTTGCCCGGCCTGATCATGCCTAGGATAAACTAGAACTGATTTCTCAACCTTAAATAGGTCTGAGGTTACCTGATATTATGTATTTGCATTTTGTAGTTTTAAGTCAAGATTCTGGAACAGACAACAGACCTCTGCCCGAGGATCTGGAGGTACATGCTGGTGTGTATGGAACTACGGCATAAGACATAAGCAAGAATATCTTAGAGAGTGTAGAAAGCATTCCAACTTTTAATATATGGTATGGACACTTGGGGGGAAAGGACAAAAACAGATTGTGCAGAATTAAAAATTTGGCTGTAAAGATTATTGGGAAGGAGCAGAAACAATTGGGATGTATATATAAAACGCAGGTGAAGCAAAAAGCTGGACAAATTGCATCTGATTCTGTACACCCCATGTTTAATGAATTTATAAAATTCCCTCTGGAAGGCGCTATAGAGCAGCTGCAGCAACTAAGAACATTTACAAAAAGTCTTTCATACTAAATGCGATAATCTTTCTAAATTCATAATGTCTGTACACTGCAATGCTATCCGTTATGGTCTCTACTGTGTATGTTGTGTTATTTATTGTGTTTTTGTATTTTGATTTTTAAGGATGTGGTTTTTAATCAGCCTGTGAAGCCAAAGACACATTTCCACATTTGTGGACAATGAAGACATTTCATTTGGTTTAACTAAAAGGTCAAAGATATAAACAGGGCGAGAGGCCATAGTACACGTGTAGAAACACAAGACATTGTGGTGTAACACTGAGTGCACACAGTTCCACTCCACAGTGAAGCAGCAGGGTCCACACAGGGTCTGATCCTTAAACGATCACACGCAAAGTGTAAATCAAACAACTTTGAAAGAGTTGCCGGGCGTCACATCTCTCCTCTTACTGGGAGGACGATTCATCCCCGTCCACAGATTTAGAGAATTCAAACGACAATGGATGGAGGAATTTAAACTGATTGTCCAACTACTGAATGTGTGCAAGTCTCTTTGTGACAAAGACAGTGGTCGGTCTGTAATGCTTGGAGGCAAATCAGGGCAGTTTCCTCATCTGGAAACTGTTTTACAGTTTGTCAGTTTAACAGTCTGGACCATGTCTCTGCTCATTACCCACCACCTCACTCTACACTAAACCTAACACGCACACAAAGAGGACTCTGCTGCACCCCC